TAGGAGAGAGTTCTCCAGAGGATGCTGTAGGCTGAGAGGCCATGAGATTCAGGCAGGTGCTGACATCAGGACTTCTCAAAACCAGAAAAAGAAGTGGAATCGAGTTGTTTTTGTTGTTACTTCATTTCAGAACCCAGCCTGGACCCTCTTTCCTCGAGGCAGCTTCCTCAGGCCCACGGCAACTCAGGCAGCAGGACAAGCCTGGTGGCCGAGGATGAGGGTGGATTGTCCCCCGAGGTGAACAGCTCCACGTCCCAGAGTGAAGACCCCAGCCTGCAGCTGGTCAGTCTGGCACTGGGGTTCTGTCCCTGAGTGGATCTGGAAGTGAACCAGAGAGATGTTTGTTGTAATCAATGAGCTCTTGGTGGCTGTTTCAGGTGTCTGTCCTCGTGTTGAAGATGAATGAGGTGAACTGTGGCATAGAGGCACGAGGGGATGATTTGTCTGTGGCTGTACAAGTGATGAACGTGGTTCCAGAGCAGCTGAACAACGTGGGGATGTGGCAGTATCTGCGTGGCTACGTGGGTGAGACACTACTCTGGGACTCAGCTGCTTTTACAGCTGTGCTCTTAGAACTGGCTTTTACAGCAGCCTTGCTTGGGGAACATTCCATTAACTGGGGTGGTTAGGACTGAATACAGCTCAGCTGCAGGGGTTCAGATCTGCATTTCAAAGATGTTTCCCAAATGCCTACATAGCCAGGCTCTGTGGGGCTTAGTAATCATTGACTGGGATTTTTTTAATTCCTGCTAGGCTGTATGAAATGAATTAAAAGAGTGAATAAAGCTCTCTAGGGAAACCCTGAAGTTATTCCTGCTCTGAGAAAAATGCTTTTGGTCTAGGGTACCTCCCCAGGGCTAAATTTGAATTAAACTCAACACAAACCCAAAAACAATCAACCCCCCACCCCCCAAAAAAAGGTAACTGAACCCCTAAGTAAACAAACCCCAAAGCAGCTCCAACATGGATTCATTTCATGTGAGAGATGACGTCAGACTGAGGTCACTGTGAGCTTGGCTGCTCTCTGCAGCTGGGCAGAAATGGGCTTTCCAAGATGCCCTTTCTGGGTTTAGACCCGGCTGCTGGTGCCCCGCTGTGCAGTGACACCTCTCTGCTCCAGCTGTAGGAGCCCCGGGTGTGGAGGAGCCTGCAGACCCCGTGCCCAGCCCCCAGCCCCAGCTGTGCCTGCGCCTGGACGGGGGTCCCGCCGCCGCCGCCCACTCCCCGCTGGCCGAGCGGAACGGGCTCCTGCGGGTGCTGCTGCGGGGCTGCCACACACAGCTCTGCATGTCCTCCCTCACCAGCCTGGGCCCCTTCCTCGAGGATGAGATCATTCCAGAGGTGATCCCCATGGAGATAGAGGTGGTGGATGCCAAAATCACGATGCAGGTGAGTGTGTGGGGAACCAGAGATTCCTCCCGGGATGGCAGCCAGGGCAGAGCTCACTTGGAAGATTCTGCTTGGGAAGGGACCCCATGGGATTCCTAGGGGCCTGTGTAGAACTTCTGTTTTCCTGAGATTGGTTTTGCTTCTAAAAACTGCCTTAGGGATAAACGAGGAGCCCAAGGGAACTGTTGATTCCTGCTCACGTGCAGGCCTGTTCGTGCAGCCTGGCCCTTCCGTGGGTGGGTGCCCTGGTGAGCTCTGGCAGTGCTGCTGGGCAGGAATGCTGCTCCTGAGGAGGGTGCAGGCAAGGGGAATCCTTTCCAGAGGGCCAGAGCTGTCACAGCAGCTCATCTCCTCTCTGCTTTGTGTTTTGCCAGGATGACAGCCCCCGGGTGTACCCCACCTCCCCTGGCCCTGTCCCCATCACCCTGGCAGTGGATCACGTTGTCGTGAGGCGCAGGGACGATGGTGTGTTCTATCTCACAGGTCAGCAACATCCAGGAGCTGGTTGTACTGTCCCTCTGCACCCTCAGGCTGTGCTGGAGGAGACTGGAACTGAATGATGGTTGCTGCTGGGAAGGATGGGCTCCGGGGTGGGAGCAGTCCCTGCCTCTGTTTCCTAGTGTGGGAATTCATACTTGGTATTTCCTTGAGCACACACAGTCAGGACTCCTTTCTGCCTCTTCCCTTGCTTTAGTTTCTTCATTTTAAAATGGAAAAGAGAATTTTGTTTCCCTGCTTAAAAAGGAGGGGGGGAGAGAAGAAAAAAAAATATTTTTGTGCCAAGAGCCCTCTTATGTGAATGTCCACACCTGAATGTGTTCTGTTGCTTTCCAGCTCCCCAGGGGAAGGACTCACTGAAAGAGGAAAAACCTGTGTCAGTTCCTGAGGGGCAAAAGGCCCCAGCAGAGTCTGTCTTGGCAGCCCCAGCAGCAGGAGCACATGGGCTGCAGGTGAGTCATTGCTGCCTGTTGCTGTCTGGACAAGGAGGGAGCTGGCAGGGGGCTGGAAATTCTCTTTGGCCTTCATGTGTTTGCAGTCCCTGGCAGGTGTGGTGAGCTGCAGGAAGGGAGTGCCCAGGGGAGCAGCCTGTTGCCTCCTCTTATGGGAGTTCTGAGGAGTGAGGGCACCTTGCCCAGCATAAACCTTCCTGTTCCCTTTCAGAAACCTGGTTGTTTTTCTGGTTGGGTCCATCTTCCCACTGTGTCCAGATCCTTGTTCATAAAACAGGAATGGAGAGTTTCCCACAAAGAGAAGTTGTGTCATATGTAATTCATCTCAAAAGCTCCTGCTCTGGTTCTCCTCTGAGCAGGTCACTGTGCACCTTGGAAACTCTGCCTTGTTTTCTGTTTGCCTCTTGTAGCTAAAGCAAGTGCCAGAGTTGCAAAGGGAGCTGCAGACCATGAAACTGGCCCTTGCAGAAGCCAACATGGACAAGGCTCATCTTCTGCAGGAGATCAGGAAATACAACCCCCTGTTCCAGCTCTGACAGTGGTGGCACTGCCAGGGAGCAGGGACCAGCACCAGCACCACCAGGGCAGGTTTGGTCACGTCGCTGCCAAATGGGTCTGATCCAGGGACTGAGACCAGCTGGGACTGCACAGGACTTGGGAGAGGGAGGGAGGCCTGGCTGAGACAAACAGGGAAGGAATGAGGAGGAGTTTTCTTTGCTGTGTTCTGGCAGTGCTGCACTGAGCCAGGGCACTGCTCAGCCTACAAACACAAGGTCAGATGTTGGGGGAGAGAGACACATCCTGTGTCTCCTCATCCTTTCAGCCTTCACCTTCCATGGTGACATCTAGAGAGGGTCCATGTTGGGGTTTCTGCTTCTTTCACCCTCCCTTGTTGTGTTCTTGCCCAGTCCTGCTCACCAAGGGACATGGCAGGAGGAGGGTGGTCACTTCAGCACCTGGGGAGTGACAGGACAGGGGTGGCAGAGGGCTCAGGGCTCTGCTGGCTCCTGGAGGGAGGGACAGGGGTGCAGAAGGGATTTCCTCCTGTGGAGTGAGGGGGTACAGCTCACTATCCCCTCAAGAACAGGGTCAGGATAGTAAAGAAATCACTTCAGATTTCTTTTTCCACCGGTAATTCCTTGTGTGGAGACAGTGTATTAGACTTAGTCCAGTTCATTCTCACTTAATCCCACAACATTTGGCTTTTTGATGCAGAAAAACAAAGGAATTGATTCCTTACAAGGCACTGTTTAAGTTTACTATCAAAGAACAGGGGTGAAGGAAGTTGGTTCAGTCTCAGAGTGAGATGACCTGTGTAATTTTTGGGGTGCACGTTGTCCTCACAGCTTTGTGTGCCGGAATTCTGGCGGGGAGAGGGAGCAGCTGTGACCCCTGAGGAAGGAGCTGCTCCAGCAGGGCTGTGGGGATTTGTCAGCACTGGGGGGAAATCCTTCAGCAGGGCTGTTGGTCTGTGGCCAAGGGGGCTGCCCGGGCTGGGACACATTCCAGAGCCACCTGCTCTGTTCCCAAGAGGAAAATGCACTTGAAGTGGGTGTCGGGGCACTGCCTTCCCCAGCCCTCAGCAGTGAAGGCAGTGCTGACGTGTCAGACCCCTCTGCAGGGAGTGACTTGCTGTGAGCAGCTCCCAGAGCAAGACAGGAGGTGACAGAGCCTCTCCGGATCCAGGTGCTGTTGGAACAGACCCCTGGGAACTGCCCAGAGCCTCCGAGCAGAAGTTGGACTTTGCTTTGCCAAACCTTTGTGCTGCTCCCTCTCCCCGGGGGCGCAGGAGCTCCGAGACTGCTTGCTTCAGGTGCAATGCAATGGTGTTCCTGCTTTTTCTTCGCTAATTGCTTGAAAATGGAAGGTTTCTCTTCTGCTCTTTCAAATTTTCATGATGTTTTGTTTGGGTGGGGAATGAGTGGGGTGCGAAGGGTTTGCTCTGCTTTGGTGCCCACCTGCAGGGTCACACAGCTCCTCCCACGTGTGCAGGCTGAGCACAGCTGGGGCCAAGTTGTTTACAGCAAATTTCTTGCTCCAGCACCTCAAGTCAATGGGTTTTGTTGAAGAATTCAAGCGTTTCCTTTGCTTTGAAGTCCCAGTAAAAAGGACTGTAACCCAAAACCCACAGGCGTGGGAGGACAAAACCTCCGGGATCTCCATGGATCACAAGTAGCAAAGTTTACTTGTGGAGCCCCTTATCTAAGGACTCGTCCTCTGTTCTGGTGGGAGCCCACGGAATCCTGCCCACCACAGGTGCTGTGGGAGAGCCCGTGGCCTCAGCACCTCTCTGGGGCAGGAGCAGCTCCTGGGGCCTGGGGACAGGGGTGAATGTGCAAGGTCTGAACTTGAATTTCAGTTTTAGCCAGTATTGGAACTTTGCAGTTTGTTTCCACTGATGCATTTATTGGTTCTATGAACCAGGAGCAAAATTAAACTCCTTAACCTCCTTCCAGGCTCAGGCCTCTTCTCGCCCCCCTCCCCCCCCCCCGTCTTCCCAACTGTGCTGTTTTCTGGCTTTGGAAGCACAGCTGAGCCATGACTTCAGAGGCTCCAGGGACCCAGCACTGCCCCAGGCTGGGAGCAGCTCCAGGAGCACCTCATGGTGGGCTGGGGCACAGCCTCATCCTGCCCTGCCCCGGCACACAGCGAGTCCAGCCGGGCCACCAACACAGAGCAACTTTAATGTACAAAAAAAAGCCACATCTGGGCCAGCAGGAAGCACAGCCCTGGGGGGTGAATACTCTGAAGGCCGTGGATGTTCCTCTCCCTGCTGTGCTGAGGCAGAGGAGCCCATGGCTCCAGGTCAGGAGCAGCTCCTGGCTCTGCCCAGTGCAGGGTTCTGGGCAGTGACTGAGGACAGTCCCTGTGGTCCCCGAGGTCTCACACCCCTCCCCAAGGGGCCTCAGGTTGTGGCTCAGCTGGGGAGGGTCCCAGAGGTTGCTGTTTCAGCCCCTCTCTGCTCCAGGGCCAGTCAGTGGAAGATGATCTTCTTGTACTTGGAGTTGGGGATCTGCCCTCGTGCCTTGAGCCTCCGCACGGCCTCTCTCATGTGCTTGGGCTGCAGGGGGGGGGCAGCTCCCCCCACTTCTCACACACGTCCAGGGCTGAACAACAAACACAGAGGTCACAGGAGGGGACACCTGAGCCCTCCCCCTCTCCTGCTGCTTCAGCTGCACTTGGAAAGGCAACAGGTAATGCTTGTGTTTAGGGTTTACAGCTCCTGCTTTGCCAGTGCCCAGGAATGAACCTGCTCCATGAGCTCCTCCCTGACAGGAGTCCCAGGAGTGACCAGGACAAAGGGCCTCTGAACCGCTCAGCCAGTGTGGATGTGCTGGATCCAGTCCCACAGGGACTGATGTGCTTAAACCCAGGGCTGGGTGGGCTCTGGGGGGCTGTGGACAGAGGGGCTGTGCTCCCCTTGCTCCCTGTGACAGGCCCCGAGGCTGCAGGACCCCCAGCCCAGCTGGGACAGCTCCCAGGTCTCAAGGAACTCCTTTGTTCTCAGCAGCACTAAGGAGAGCCCTGGGCTGAGGGACAGAGCTGGAGCCCCGGGATCTCCTCGTGAGAAGGAACAGCAGCAGGACCTGGCTCAGGGCAGGGCCCCTGCTGGGACAGAGGGGCTGTGCCAGCCCAGGCTGCCCTCGCTGTTCTGCCCTGAGCTGGGGCTGCCACTGGACCGGGGCCTCCCCCAGCGCTGCTTGTGTCCTGAGCTCCAGGCACTGAATTCCCATCTGGGCTCCACTCACCCTCCTCCACCACCTCCCCCACGAAGACCTTGGAGATGCCGGACATGGCGATGACGACGTTCTGGGACACTGAGGTGCCTGTGATGGACTGGATGAGCTGGGGGACAGGCAGGGACAGTCAGAGACCCTCACCTTGACCCACAGAGGCCCCCGGCCCCCCCAGGCTGTGGGGGGCATCGGCAGTGCCGGGACACCGGGCTGAGCCGCAGGGCGGGGCGGCTGAGGAGGGTCCCGGGGGGGCCCTCAGCCCTGTCCCGAACGCCCCTGCCCGTCGTACCCGTTTGATGGCGGCCTTGGGGAAGGCAGAGCGACGGTACATCTCGTACCGGTTCAGCTGCTCCTCGGAGAAGGACGAGACCAGAATCCTGCGGGGAGGGAGAACGATCGATCACAGCAAAAATACAGCTCCGAGGCTTCTTCGGGTCCCCGCGGCCGCCGTGCAAAGGCGCCCCAGCTGGGGCGGGCAGGGCTGGGCTGTGCCCTTCTCGGGGGTGAGAGGGGGGATCTGGGACGGGTCCCCGGCACTCACTGCATCTTCTGGATCTCGTCCTCATCCACCTTCTGCTTCTTCTCCTTCCGCTCCTTCAGCTCCAGTTTCACCTTCCTGGCCGCGCTCGGCTGCAGCCCGGGCTCGTCTCCGTCCGCCGCCTCCCCCTCCGCGCTCCTCACCTGAAGGACAGCGCAGCCCTCGCTCTGCAGCCGCTCGGCCCCTCCCGGTCCCGCTCCCGCCCGGCCCCGCTCTCACCTCCCCGTCCGCCCCCTCCGCCTTGGGCTCGCCGCCTCCGCCAGCCTCTCCCGCCTCGCCCTCGCCCTCCCCCTCCGCGGCCGCCGCGTCCCCCGCGCCGTGTCCCGCGGGAGGGGCCGGGCCCGGAGGCGGCTCCGCGGCCGCGGCGGCTCCGAGCGGGTCCCGGGCCGGGTCCGCCATGGCCGCGCCCGCGGCGCCGCCTGATGGCGCAACACTGCGAGTCCCCGAGAGGTGGGGCCTGTCGTCATGGTAACGGAACCGCCGCGGCGCATCCTGATGACGTACTAAACGGAGGCCAGTGAGGGGCGGAGCCTGTCGCCATGGCAGCGGCGCCGCGGCGGCGCCCCGATGACGATTGACTAAGAGCGCCGTGAGGGGCGTGGCTTTTTATCGCCATGGCAACGGCTCAGAGCCCGCGCCTCTTGATGACGCAGAGATAGGGGCAGGGCGAGGAGGGGCGAGGCCTGTCGCCATGGCAACCGCGCTGCCGCGGAGGGGCCCGTGCTGGGCCCGGCCCCGCCCCGAGCCGGAGCTCCACACCCGGCTGCTCCCGCGAGGCAGAGAGCGGGACACGGCGCTGGAGCGGCACTGCAGCCCAGCCCCGCCGCTGAGGGGAGGAAACCCCCCAAACCCCGCCCGGAAACGGGCGCGGCCTGAGGGACAGGGCGGGGCTGGGGGCGGGCCCTGCGCGGGTCCCGCCCCATCTGATCCCGCCCCCCGAGGCCCCGCCCCGGAAGTGTCGCGGGCGCGGGGCCGCGCCGGCCATGGGGAAGGAGCAGGAGCTGCTGGAGGCCGCGCGCACCGGGAACCTCCCGGCCGTGGAGAAGCTGCTCTCGGGGAAGCGCCTCAGCTCCGGCTTCGGCGGCTCCGGCGGGGGAGGCGGCGGCGGCGGCGGCTCCGCGGGGGGGGGGCGGCGGCGGTGGCGGCGGCGGCGGCGGTGGGAGCGGCGGTGTGGGGCACCCGCTGTCCAGCCTGCTCAGGTGAGCGCGGCCCCGGGGAGGGCGCTGTGCGAGGCCAGGGAGGGAGCGGGGACCTGGGGTGCGGGGCCGGGGGTGCGGGACTGCGGCGCAGACGGAGGGTCGGGTGTGCCCGTGAGGGCTGCGGGACACGGGAATGCCGGGGGTGTCCCTGGAGGGGCAGCGCGGCGGGGGAAGCCGGGGGTCCGTCCCCGGGGGGGGCGGGTCAGAGCCGGTGGGGCTCGAGGGTGGGATAAGACATCACGGAGGGTTGTGAAAGGTGTGGGGACCCCGAGGGGTTCGGTGGGACCGGGGGCGCGGGGGGAGCCGCGGCAGAGCCCCTTGGGCCGGTGTGCCTCCGGTGGGCCAGGAAGGGAGGCTGTCTGTCTGTCTGTCTGTCTGTTTGGAGCGGGCACTGCCGGGGCTGGCACTGCCCAGGGGTGGCCTATTGCCCCGGGACCGAAGCGCGGCTGTGCGGGCTCCGACTGGAGCGACTGGGGAGCTGTGGTGCGTCTGGAGGGTTCTGGGTGCAGCCCAGGACGTGCGGGGGGTCCCGCGGTGGGAGAGCTGCCGGCTGTGGGTGTTGGGTGAGGTGTCCAGGCCCTGCTGGGGCATCCTCTCAGTGACCCCCTGCGGGGTCGGGGTCGGCTCTGGGGGGTCTCCGTCAGTGGGTTTGGTGTCCCCAGCCCTGTGCTGTGCAATTCTCTGGTTTGAAGCTCTCGGAGCTTTTTTAGTTTTTTTTTCTCCTCCCCTTTTTTCGGCATCTGCTGAGGAAACCACTCAGTGCTGTGCTTCTGGAGCCACAGCTTTGTGCCACTTCAGCCTCTGCTGGAAATGCTGCTGCTTGTGGTCCCTGAGCAACTGGTTTGTACTGGAGCATGGGGAGGAGATTTGTGCCACTGTCACTACACGCCCTGACTGTTGAGAGGGATGTGACTGGCCCAGTTGTGGCCAAATTTGATGTGTTTTCCCTTTGTCATAACCTGATCCCTGTCTGGGGCAGAGGCCCCGGCCAGGAGAGCTGCCCTGGGGCACAGGTTTGTGTTTCTGAAACGTGAATGTGCCCCTGGGTCAGACTGTGTCCTTCTCCTTGGATACATTAAACACTCCGAGCCTTGGTTTGGGAGGGGAGTTGCTGCAGCCCCTCAAGGGGTAGCTGTGCGGGGGGGGGGCTCGGGTCAGTGTGGAGGGTCTGGTTAAACACACTGAGCTGCAGCAGCTCCACACGGTGCCCGTGGGGCTGTTTGACTCTGGCCGTGGCTTTGTGCACAGACACGTCTGGCAGTGCCTGTCACAGCTGTCACCCGTGTCCGCTGACGTGGCTGTTGGGGACACTGCAGTGGTCCCTTTCCCCTCCCGAGTCCCAGCCCCGAGGCTGTTTCCCTGCACTGTGTGTTCTGTGTGTGTCTGACAGTGGTTCCGGGTCTGGCAGCGCGTCCTTAACTCGCTGTGTGGCACCTGCTGCCACTGAGGGGCTTTGGGACTGTTTCCCACCTCCTGACCCTTTGTTGGGCTTTGGCTCTGGGTTAAGTGACTCCAAGTGAGGAGCTTGTGATGAGGTTTGGAAGAGAAGCAGCTGCTGAGTGTCCCTGCAAGGAGAGGCCCAAGGGAGCAGCTGGGACAGATCAATTTTAGGGATGTGTTTGGTGGAGGAAACCTCACCTTTCCAACACTACAACATGGGAGCTTTTCTAGTGTAGGGTGTTGCCCCCTCAGCTGTGGGGAGAGCTCTGCCCTTGGTCAGGTCTGTGTGCTCCATGTTTTCCCTTCCTCAGGCAGCTGCCCCCTCCTGCTCAGGCTGATCCCTGCTCCTGCCGAGGCTCCTCCCGTCTGTAAGGATCTGTCCCAACATGGGAGCTGCTGAGCTGCCCTCCACCCCCGGAGCTCATTCCTACTGCAGGGTCATGAATGCTCAGCTGGGCTGGCAGAACTCCCTTGTTCCTTCCTCCTCTCGATTTTGGTTCCTTTGGATGTCGCTATTTAGTTCCTATTTTATTTTTTAAGTCCCACTGTTTGGACAACCTGTTCCCAAAGCCCATGTGTCCCGAAGTGCCTGTCTCAGCTTTTTCTGGCAGTTCTGCAACATTTCGGGCATCTCAAAGATACAATTTTGGATGAGGTACAAACCAGGCATTTCCTGGAATTCCCATGTTACACCTGGTAGGTGCTGAGCTGGTGCTTGCTCTGAGCTAGCACTCATCAGTTTGGGCTATTTTTCTTCCAAAGAGAACAAGTGCTTCTCCATGAAGTGGTAGAAGATTCCCCTGGCAGTGAATTCCTTGGAATGCAGTGTTTTATCACATCACCTGAGCTGCCACTGTGCCTGTTATCAGGCAAATGTGAACTTTGTCACAGTCCTGGCTGTGCTGAGGCCGAGCCAGCCCGCTGGGTGTGGAGCCATGCACAGACTGCAATCACCTCCAGCTGCAGGTGAGCAGGAAGCAGGACAGGATGGAGCGGGATAAGCCACAGGAGCAGTAATTGCAAAGACAATGGACGTCTGTCCCGAGGGGTGAAGGTGCAGGGTGTAACACTCAGGATTTCGGGCAGAGGGACAAACCCTGGTGGGGTGGGGGAACGAGGAGGAGATGGAAGTCTGGTGTTTACCAGAGATGGTGGGCTCACAAAGAGCTGGTGGGAGGACCAGTGAGCAGCCAGAGGGAAAATCCACTCCATGCACATGCAGCTTAGGGCTTATGAGCAGCAGCAAGGCCAGAAATGCACCGTGAATCCATGAGGGTTCTTGGATTTTCAGGGGCGCTTTTGCATCAAGGCTGCAGAATTTGGATTTATTGGTTTTGGGTTTTTTTAGTGCTTCACTGTGAAGTTAAAGGCAGGAAACAACAAAATAATCTGTGGCTGAGCTATCAGGCTGCATTCAGGAGGTTTTGCCAGGAGCAGTGAGGGATGGGTTGTGTTAAAGCCAAATCTGCAGAAAAAGCTTTTTATTTTTAACTATTGCTGTGAAAAACCTGGATCTTTGTTGCTGGGAGGGGAAACTGAGGCTGCTGCTAAGCCCTAGATGAGCTATGCAATCCTCTGGGAATGTATCAAGGAGACACTTCTGCTGGGAAGGAGGAGTTTGGGTGCACATCTGTTGTGGGAAGGGTTGGGTGCTGCTCCACAGAAGCCACAGCCTGTGTTCCAGCCCATTTGCAGCAGTTGCTGCTGGTGAGGGGGTCTGGTTGGTTTAGGGAATGATGTGGTGGGATGGCAGAACATTTGAAGTGGGTTCTGACAATTCAAGGGCGGTTTAGAGTCAGAAAAATGAGGTTGTATTAAAACAAAGAGGGGTTTGGTGTTTGCTCTGGTGCAGCTGATAGTTCACAGCATCACGGGGGAGCTGCTCCCACTGCGTCCCCACAGAACTGGGCAGCACTGGGTCTGTCCCTCTCCTGCTGCTGGGATTAAGCATCTCACCCACTTCAGGCTGCCTCCTCTCCCTGCCCTGCCGTGCACACACCACAGGACAGAGCCCTCTGTAATTGCACACCCAGCAGGGGCTGCTGGACGTGCTCCTGCCACAGGCACGGGTGTGCACCGGCCTCTGCTGGGAATTGTTTCCTGAGCACTTCTTAAAGAATTCGGAGGCTGCAGTTACTGACTGTGCGATCTCGTGATGCAGCTTTGGAAGGTTTTATTTGCGTGCTCTGGTCACGGTTCCGTGCTCGGGGCTGGGTCAGGAGCACCAGGCTCTCCCTGCTGTGGGACCTCCCAGTTCCACTCGCCCAGGCCACGGGTGCTGCTGCTCCCCTCTGTAGAGCAGGACTCGGGGTTATGCAGCACCCAGTCTTTACCCACGTGCTGAGTCCTCTGGTGCTCTGAGACTCACTCTCTTGGGAGTGTCAGTGTGTCAACGTGTTTATGTCAGCTGGAGGGTGAGAAACACATAAGCTTACTTTTTGCCTTGCTTTGAGAGTGTTTTGAAGTGCCAGTTGGGTTTTGGAAATATCCATGTGCTTGCAGAGGTTACCTCAAATATTCCATGAGGGAGTTGCTGTGGGCTGAGATGTGGTGTGGGGAATATTAGGTGAGTCAGAGTCTCAGGTGAGGAGTGTCAGGTGGGTTGGATTGTGTTGAGGATGCTGGAACTAAGGCAGCTGCTGCCCACTGACAGGTGCAGTGTGTTAGCAGTCACAGTGTCCTGTGGTGGCAAGAGCAGAGCCCAGACATGGGGCTCCCCGGTGTTTTTCCAGTTGTCAGGTTACACACCTTCCCAGGAGCATTTGCAGGGCTCACTTAAAGTTTGTGCTCTGCCCCATTGTGGGAGGAGCAGTGAAACACATCCATGACAGGCATTTACTCCTTTCCCTGCTGTGCTCAGGCCTGGCTCCAGTGCTGGCTGGAGGATCCTGAACAGTGTGAGGACTGAGCAGGTGGTCTGTGCTCAGATGCTTGTGAGACTTGGGTGCACTGGGGGGATGTTGTGAGGTAATGCATTGTTTCGGTGAGACAGAAGGACAAACAAGCAGGATAGAACATAGACATACATGGAAGGTGTGGCACAGAGTAGAGGGGATACAGAAGGGAGGAAATGCACCCCAGACCAGAGGGAAAGCCTCTTGCAGCTGCCCCTGGACAAGGGGAAGGCAGTTCCTGGAGGCTGAGTCCCTCCTGTGGCAGTGCCCAAGGGGCTGCCTGGCTGGCTGGAGACAGAGCGTGTGCCAACACCTCCACTCCATGTGAGCCCTCTGCCTTTCCCAGGCTGTGCCATGCAGCTGTGGAGTGCTCTTGTGCTCCAGCTGTGGGAATCCTTTCAAGGTGAAGTGTCCTTGAGATGAGAAGGTGCCTCTGAAGACGGGTGATGGCCATTTCCTCTTGGCACTGCAGCGCGAGCTCTGCCCGATGCTGAGCTGGCACTGCCACCATCCCAAAGCTGCTGCTCTGGAGTACAGCTTAGTCATGGAAATGAGATAAATCCTATTTCACAGAAACTGGTAAAAATAAAACTGTTGAGGATTGATTTGTTTCTATAGCAACCGACTGGAGAAGCGAATGCAGCTGCTGTCTGCAGGAGGGAGGAA